GGCTGTGTGCGGCACATTAGCTTTGTGGGCCTGTGTATTTTAAGGTAAAGCGTGAAAAATTGCTTCAAGATCTTTTCCCAAATACATAGGATTAACTAGGGCGATTTGTAATTTAAACATGAAGATATTCGGATCTGGCTGATGGCTCCAAGTTCGACCACAGTGTCCGACCAGGGTCTTCGGTAAGCAAACAAGAAGCTTCTATTTCACTTGCATGTCGTTCAGACCAAGTTTCATACCACTGTATCTAAGGGAGTATGCAGAAAGTGTGGCTGGATTGGCGCTTCTCGAGGTCACAGGCTTGTCACATTGGGCATTGTGGAATCACAACTTAACGACGCTCACATTCTAAGAAGCGTGTTCTCACAAAATTCCAATTAAAAAAAGCTTACATGTTTTTCTAAATTTGTTAAAATTATAATTTACTGGGAAGATAAATTTAACAGGCAGTTAAGAAACCAACCCTAAAAGTAGATAAAAAATCAAATACATTTTTTTGTTTAATAAATGTATTAAAAGAAGGAAAAAATTTTCCATGGGTCAAGGAAAAATTATTTTCCATATAATTTTTAGTGCATTTATAGAAATGTGTTATGTAAGATTTTTTTATTTGATTTTTTTGTCTATGAATGTTATCGGATAACGTATGTGTACTCCCATTTGGGCATAATTTGAGACCCAAACGTGATATAAATTGCATTATATTTAAACTTTCAATTGATTTTTCAACCAAATTAATGCGCAGTCATTCAAACACAAATTAATTTGTGTGAGCCCCATTCGTTGGAGCCGGGAAGTGCATACATATTTTCATTTCCCTTTCAATTACTAAATCTATTTATTACGCTATAACGATTGCCAGTATTTATTTATATTGCTGCTACTGCCTCTGCGACTGTGCAATAGCAATTGCGTGACAAGTTGCATGGTAACTTCGAGAGCTCCGAACGTCAAATCGCATGCAGGTCACGTGCCCATTTAAGCTAATAAATTGCATACAAGTTAGTCGGCCCCACTCACACGTCTACTAGCGCACAAAAGTCACAACTTTACCTGCGTTCTCTCCTCACGCCCTTCCAAAGTGTCTCTCAAAGTCTTTGTAGTTATTTCTTTAACTGCTGCCGGTTGGGTACGTGCGTCGCTTTGCCCAAAAGTGCCTACGCCGATTTGTAAATTCCGTGGCCGTGGTCAGTTTGGTTGTGAACTTATGTCACACTCCTACCACACAACTTAAACCTAAGCTGAAGAAATGCAAACACAGCAAAATAACAAAAAATACTAACTAAATCCGCTGCTGTTGGTCGACTTAGCGATTATTGCATATTTTGTTTTGCTTTGCTTATATTTTTTGTTTATTTAAGAGCATAGACAGATGACTGCTTTTATCCGAAACAACTGGTTAATTTAGAATTATCTCCGGCATTAACTGCAGTTGATCTAGAGTTAACTATCAAACTTATTTTTTTTTTTGATTATACATAAATTTTATTTTATGTGGTTTGTTTTATGTTATTTCATATGATTATTGCAAGCAAATTGAACTATTTTAGAGTTTAATTGTGTTCAAAAAGGCCACCACAACTATGCAGTTACATTTACAAAAAATATAAGTACTCATTTGAGCAGATCAACAGCTCCGTTAATCCGAATTAACGTTGTCGCCTGTATATGCTATAATGTTCTTGCTTACACACACATACACATCCGTTGCATTTCATTGCTGCCATCGCACAGTGGTTCAAAACTGGAATTTAAAGTTCATAAAGTTCATGGAGTCTTCGTTTTTTAACCAATTTGCTTATTTTTTTTTAATGAAGGCTTATAAAATTAGCAAGAGCCCAGTTAAGCCCGATCTTGGAATTTTTAGATGTTTATTTTAAATTTTTGAGTGCAAAGTCAATAAAAGTAGCAATTTGAAGAAAATCGATTCTCCAGTTCCAGCTATTAAATGTTACATAACAAAAACCAATAGAAAACATCTGTAGGGTTCTTATAACAAGTAAAAAAATCACAAGAAAAAATTTAAATGTAAAAAAAAAATTCACCAAAATTAATTTTTTTTTGAATTTTTAGAAAAAATTTTGGTACAAAGTTTTATAGATCGTTAATTTTCTTTGCGCTCATTTAAAATGGCCGAAGCAGCTCAAACCCAGCAAACAATTTTTATAGGAACTTGACCCAATCATATGTAAATTTTTGTTTTTTTTTTCGTTTTGGGTGAACCCTACAATTGTTTTCAACTAGTTTTTATTATGCAACATTAATTAACTGGAGAATGAGAATCCATTTTCCTAAAAATTGCTACTTTTTTGCACTTTGCACAAAAAGAATTTTATGAAAAGAAATGAAAATTCAAAAATCTGGCTCAACTGGTCTCTTGCAAATTCAATAAGCTTTCATTTGAAGAAAACCTAATCAAATTGAGTGAAACATTACTGCTCCGCCATCCGCACGAGGGGCGCAGTCCGCATGACGTACGGAACCACTATTTTCAATTTTTGCGCCGAGTTACGATAGGTAAATGAAAGTTTTGAACTACTGTGCCTCGGCGCGTGCTATGGTTTTTGTTTTTAGCCTTTTTTTATTTATTATTATTTACGCTGCTCATTTGTGGTAATTTGCATGGCTTTTACATACATATATATGTACATATTTATATAAGTATTCCGGGCTGTAGGAAGAAGTGTTGCTTGCGAAATAAATATGTATTTAGAGTAAATTGGATTTATTTAGCCTCCACGCTCTCTGTCCGCGTGCTCGCAATCAGTTTCTCTACGTGTTGAGCACTGCGTGGGTGTGTGTGTGTGTGTATGTGTATTTGTCTGCATTTTGTGTTTAATTGTGCTTAATTTGCATTATTTCGGCTAAGCTTTGGCGCTGCATAACAAAGAGATTTTCAAATTCCTTTCGCGTTGTTTGCTATTTTAATGCGATTTACCACACAGCCTTCGGTTGACAATTCGCAATGGCTGTTATTTCGTTATTTTTTCACAGTTTTTGTTACTTAAAAACCGCACAAAAAGCAACAATATTCATCTTAACATTCTTATTGTGGCACTTGGCCTCGAAATTTATTTAGTATTTGTCGTTCATCATCGAGTTGACGTGACAATGTCATGGAGCAAAAGCCAGAAAATGTCTTATTTTCTTTGCAAATGTGCACAAATCTCTTAAATCATATCTGTGGCATTATGGTAAAGCAGCTTAAGTGACTTTAGAAGTTTTGGCTTTGGATTACAAACGAATAAGTTTCCATTCAAAAATTTTAAACTAAACCTATTTCTGGTTAAACGCTAAAATATTACTTGGGAAGCCATTGAAGTATTAATTTTAAGAGAGAATGACCTAACTCGAGGTAAGTGGTTTTATCAAAATGCCGCAGGAAATCTCCTGTAGACTTTTGGCTATAGTAAATTCCAAGATTAGTATTCATGTTTGGTGGCAGAGCGTTTGCTTCAACTCAACATAATTTATACACCCGTTCGCACTTTTTAACGCAAAATCGAATCACCTTCGCAAAAAACACACATACACTTGTGGTCAGCTGATTAAGTTAAGTGACATTTTGACCAGTTTTGATTATTTTGTTTTTGTTTATTTAATGTTTATATATTTCAAAGTTCTTACAAAAATTACAAAAATTCAACAGACTTCAACAATTACACACAAAAATTTAAAACTTTTTTTCCCATTAACTTTTAGTGGGTTAAAGTGCAAACTTCAAGAAGAAGTGAATCGCGTTTATTTTAAATAAATATATTTTTTTTTGCCGACGGTGCTAGAATACCTCCACCATACGCTCCATACGAAAGTCATTGCCGAGCATAATTTGTACACATGGTAGAAAATGCTCAACAGCGTTAGCCAAAAGAATTATTAAAAACCAAACCGATTTTCTGAGGAATTAAGTTGAATTTAATTTTTTAAACATGTGGCAACCCCCCCTCCCCCCCCTAAAAATAGTTCAGAAATAAAGGCTTTTCAACCCCTGATTTGAAAATACATTTTATTTATTAAATAATTTTAATTTGATTTTTTTAACGGGTGGCAACACTCTTTAAACGCCTCAAAAATATTCTTAGTGTTCAAACTTAAGATTTGTTAACACTTGTTGATTGACATATTTTGATATTTTATTGCTTATACCTTAACTAAATTCGACTTTTTTAAACAGATGGCAACCCGCTACAAAATATTTACTATTAACTGAATTTAATTTTTTAAGCGTGTTGCAACCCTCCTACAGTTAAGTTACGAAACAAAGCTTTTCCAAACCATTTCGATTGATACTCACTTTGTAATAATCGGTTGCACTTTTGTGATAATTTGAACTAAATTTTTTAAAAGGTGGCAACCCGTGTCCAAACATGCGTACAAGATAAAGAAAAATTCCTCGTGAAAATATGTAAGTACCCTTCAGGTCATTACTTTCCAAAAAGAGAGATTATTAACTTAACTATGCATAAGCTACACCCTTTAATACATATAACTAAAAGTGTGTACACTGTACATTCATACATCAACTCCGAAAAAAAAAAAATTATTAAACAACACATTCAATATTCTGTGGGCGATTAAGGAGAGAAACGTAATAAGCTTAAGCTTACCATGAAAACAACAAGCTACATAGTAGAGCACTCATTTTCGACTTCTTAGCCATTCCACGCACATTAACATGGCTTAACGACTTACTTACTTAACAAACACTTTATTTGCGCTCGACGCTCTCAACGCCAGTGCATGCAATGAACAAAAAAAAAAACAAAAAAAAACCAACAGCTTAGCCTACAAAATTAAGTTGATATAAAACCAAATATCGCAACGGCGCCAGCGCCAATCAGTTGTTGACGAATTAAACGCTTGTACGTTGCCATTGTACATATTGTATTTACCGCAAGTAACGGTAAAAAAATTTAAACGAGAAAAAACGCACAATACAAAGGATCCATTAGCAATGGCTCGTCTTGATTGTTCGCACACAGTCACAAAAGTGGTAACGCTCGGTTTATTTGTCGCCTGCCTGTTGCACGCTTCAACGGCGCAATTGTCCTACCACACGGATTCCAATTCGAATTCTTTCACCCTAAAAACTCCATCCTTGCAACAGAGTTTCTCGCGCGTGTTTGGCGGGCAGCAGCAGCAGCAACAGCGTCAACAGGCATCGCCTACAGCACAACAGCTACAACAATTCGCACAACCACTTTCACAGCCACAATTCCAGCCGACACAGCAGCCACAGCAACAACAATACGCGCAACCACAACAATACCCAACAGTTCAGGTGAGTGTTTGGTGAAAATGTGTGCATTAGAGCAGAACTTATTTGAAGTGGTTTTCTTAATCGGGATTATGGTCGTATGTTGAATTTTTTGTGAACAAAAATTTTATATTTTTTTAATGACTTAAAAATCGGGTGGGAAAACTGCAAAAAATTTCTGAATTAATCCATGATTTAATCCACAAACCTATAAGATGAAAAGCCGGACAATAAGAGCATTTATTGTTAAAGGTAGATACGGAGATAGGAGGCTGAAGTGCCAGTCGCTTCAACCACAAGCTGGGCACATTTTTTTTTTGCGCAGTTTTCTTCATCGGAGAAAAATTCTAATTCATCGAATGTATCTGAAGGGACTGAAGTGTTAAATCATATTCACAACATCTAGCTTAAGTCATTCTCCTATTTAGGTACATTCCTACATACATTTATAGTACAATCTTCGAAAATTACCGTTTTCATTTCTGAATGTTATTTAGCTCCGACTGCAGTAGATAAATCCTTCCAGTGCAGAGGATACATAATTCGTGTTCGTTTTCTATACAATCTCTACTAGGAGGCCTAAATTCAAAAATTCAAATTTCGGTTAGTAAAACAAAGATGGAAAAATACTTGGCACGTAGACATTTCTGAACGATCTTGCAATCAATATCACGCAATCATCCTTTGAGAAGCCCTACAAGATCAGAATTCCTGAAAGGGGCTGCTGTGAAGCGTTAATATCTATGAAAGAAAAGGGTCCCAAGTACGATATACCGATGCATCGAAGATGGACAACGGGCAGGCGTACTTTGACCAAAATTCAAGTGGCCCATACGCAACCGTATTCCTGTGTACGTAGAAGGAAAATCAGGGCCAGAATAAATATTGTGTCTGATAGTCAGACAGCACTAAAGGCCTTAGACTCATTTAGAACGACATCAAGGCTTCTGGACAGTTGTACAACTCTTCTTAACAGCCAAAGAGTCAATAAAAGAGTGATGCTGTGAGGGGGTCGCTGGGCATTAAGGGTTTGAAGCTGGAGCCCTAGTTCGTTTGCACGGTAACGAGCCTTTCTGTGGCACATCCGAAGGATACTCTGTAGAACTACTTAAGGCCAAATTCACAGTGCGATTCTGAGTTAACTGAGCACTGTGAATTTGGTCCTTAGGAGCTAAGAAGAATCTCACATTGCTGCCCACCGGCTGAAGTCCAAAGGAATGAGATAATCAAAGAAATTCATAGCTCCTTCCAGATGGAACTCCGAAATACTCCTTGATCTTAGCCGGGAGGGCATTAAATAGGACTCTTACAGGCTACCTGAAAGAACACTGCGAGTTAAATTCCATTTGAATAAAGTGGGGCTTTCTATAGGGATCGACTGCAGAGTTTGTGGACTGGTGGAGGAAACCTCAGAGTATATTCTTTGTGACTGCCCAAGTATCATAGACTGATGTAACTTGGGGAACCATTATCCTCTCCATTCAAATTTTGGAACACGGCACCCTCTAATTTTGGAGTGACAAAAATTAAGGTTTAGCACAATGTATCTATTTCAGTTCGCATATCTGACGTAATACTAATAATAATACATTGAGAGTCCCATGCTTCAAGAAAACAACTCCCATCGAACCAACATACAGCAAGGCCATCTACAGTATTTTCGTGAAGATGCCTTGAAACCGCTTTTTGAAAAAATAACCCCAGGAGTCTAGAGAGTCTGTGTCCATTCGAATGGCTAATAGAGTGTGATATTTGTCGTTGGCAGTAGCGATTCTCTGTAGGATTTCAATGTTGATGCTGGTTTCCAGATAAACGAAACCAGAAACGAAAAGTACAACTGTAAACAGTGATGTAATTACGGATGCGCAAATGCGCCGCCTATTTGTCCTAAAGGCCGATTCGCTTTGGTTTCGTACAAAACTTGGAAAATGCCGATCAACGTATCTTTTGTTGAGGGCGATGAATCCATACGCCAGCAGTTCTAAGCTCCTATAAAAAACCAGGATTTCGCCTACGGTCTGTGTTCGATTTACTAGTTCTAAACCACATGTTGGCGGTAGACTTTAGTCTTTCCCACAAAACCCTCTATAGACGATGCTTGGCGCGCTGGCCCTTTTGTAGTAGGCATAATGGCGAGATCGCTCTTCTTTTGGGTTATCCGAAGCACGTTTGAATTTCATATTTTGCATAATTTTCAATTTATTGAGGATATACATATTAGTACAATAAGGTACAAGGAAAGCTTAGCTTTATTATTTTTCCTATTGTCTTTCAAATCTTCTCAAAGCCAATCAACGAATCACCTCAGGCGCGTCTTTCTCTCCTTAATTTTCCATATTGTTGCCATTTCGCAGTATGGAGAATTGTTCATTCCTTAATTTTAGGGCACCCTGGACTTCATTTATCATCGTTCTTATTTTTATAAGTGCTCGCCATGGTCTTGAGACCTTCCGTAAGGTGTTGAACCTTCTGGAAATTTTTCGACCACCATGTTTTGGCCCTGGCAAAGTTGATTAGCCTTAAACCGTTAGCGATGAGGTCTCTCAGTCAGGTTGTGCTCCTTTACTTTACAGCTGTAGTAGACGTGACAGGGTTCTATTGTATTCTTACGTATGTAAAATCAAAGTATAATCTTTGTTGGCCTACTAAGTACTATTTCTGTGCAACGGAATAAGTTCACAGGAGGGATGGAATTCGAAATTTTAAAGTTGTACCGAAATTGGTTAAAATAATGGGCCGAAATAAAAATTAAAAGACCGCATATTGAGAGGGTGCCTATTCCTATTTTTGCTTTTTTGAAAAACCTAAATATTTCAGGCAAAAACCACAAGAATTCGTTTTTTTAATTCCAAACAAAACTCGGAAAAATTCAAGAAATACCAAGAAATTTTCACCAAATCTAAAGATCTAATTGAGAGGGATTAAAGGTGCAGAAAATAGCCCAATTGTGCTCTTTTTGCATCATTGCTTCTAAGTGGCTTTTAACTTCCAAACACTATGAAATAATTCAGCTAAAAAAGTATTTTTAAACAGAAACTAATCTAACTCCAAATATCTAATTAAAAAAACAAATTATCTCTTCAGCATATTTTTATTTGACACTTAATGATTCGCACACATCATTTAGTTCCTTAATGGTCATCGGATTCACTCGACGAAGAATGTGACGAAGATGATGATGACGACGACGAGGACGAAGATTGTGATGAGCTGCTTCGTGACCCACTATCAGGTGCCGCGGCGCGCTTCTTGCGTTGGTCATCACTCAGGGACTCACCCGAATAAATCAAATCTGATTCATTCGAATAATCTGATTCAGCACTCATCGAGTTACCTGCACCCAATGCTTGTGAATCGATTTCACGCTTACGTCTACCTCCTGCAGGCATCTTCATAACTTCACCATAACCGATTGCCATAGCATCGTTTACCTTAGCACTCATAATTTGTATTTGCTCACCGGCTGTCGCTACACCATTTTCCACCATCTCTTTCATTTGGTTGGCCATCGTAAGAGCCGCCTTTTGGAAGTCCTTTAAGAGACAGAAGCTGTGGGTAGTATTTGAAATTAATTGGTTATGACAAAAGTCACAATCACCTGTGGTGCTGGCGCCGCGTGCGTTCCTACCCAGCAAACTGATACGCTGAGCAATACTTGTAAGAGCATTTTTGCTTGCATTTTCTGTCCGTTCGTTTTGATTTGATTATTGCAACTGCGAATAATTTATTAATTTATATTCACATGTTGGGGACTTATTCGATCGGGGGATTTTTCAAATTGGGTAATTGTGTGTGTGTGCGGTGAATTTTGCCAATTGCACGCAAATTGATAGCATCTCTTTGATAATTACGCAGGGAATTGGTAGTACAACACAAATGAATAAGTAATACTAAATAATATTTAATTATATTGCTTACATGTGTATTTCCTCAAGTTATCTAAGTACCGTACACATAGTATACGTGTACATTAGAGTGGTCCAAAAAAAATTTTCCGCGATAGGGTTTGGGGCACTTTCCAAATTTTTTCCTCTTGCCGAGGAAAGAGGTGCTGGTACCAAACTTTACGTTTCTAGGTATAAATTTTGAGGATGCTCATGATGCTCATATTTTACTCTAGAAGTATTAGGTACATATATTAATAAAACAATTGGTTAAGTAACTAAGAATTTTCAAATTTAAATTATCTAAAAAAATATCGCAAGCTTCATTTGTCATGGCAACAGTCGCTTTTATTAAAATCACCAATATTTATGCCAGTTTCACAGCGAACCAGTAGCGAATTTCAAGGTCATTGAGCACCCTGTATTGGTTGCAGTAGAAAACTGAAAGTTGGTATAGATGTTACAAATATCAACAGGAAAAAAAACTAAGGGGTGCTCCCTTTTCTAGGATGAAATATTTTTCCACATACAAAAATTGGACTACTCTAATGTACATATTACTAACAGTGTGTAACAGTAACGCTACGACCCCAGCGAAAGGGTGTCCAAATATAAGTATCGATTAAATAAGGATGGAAAATAGCCACAACGGCTCAGAATTAAATAAAAGTGCTAGGCAACAGTTTAGGAATAAGATTTACATAAGTCGATTAAGATTCATACAAGGATAAAGGTAAAGTTGAGTATGTAGAAGGAGAACGGGATAAAGTTAAAAGCAAAAAAAAAAACTAAAGATTAAGACAAAGAGGAAGGTATATTTAAATACCTAAAAAAATGGTTAATGTGGGGGATGAATGAATATAAAATCAGGACAAACGTTAAGGAATAGATAAAGATAAAAATGAAAACAGAAATATAAAGATAATAAAGTTAATAAAAAAAAAACTATAGATATAGAGAAAGTAATAGAGACAAAGGAAAAAGCTGAAGAATGAGATATGTTATGTTTTGTTATGCTCTTACTAGTAGAGTACTTAGTAGCACTGCCAATATGACTCCTAAATACAGTCGACATCGAAAGCATGGCTGCTCCTGCTAGCGCTACATTCTTGAGTGGGTGCTTAGCTGACTCACGAAGTG